AAAGTAGGGTTAGTCCATATTTGACCCAAAGTTGGGTTGAAACAACCCAGCATTTTTTTAGAGTGTAGGCTTTCCATCGAGAAACAGAAGTCACAGAGCTAAAAAAAAAAAAAACCTGCAACTTTTCAAATAACAACCCTTGTTTTTTAATTCGACCACATAAATCGCTGTTATGTCTGATAATTTATTGACAGATTTCACAGTATGCTCCGCTAGCAGTCATGCACCACAAGCAAGCGTCAAAATTCTTGTGAACAAGATTTTGACAGGTGCCCCGTTCCTCTGCGTCTCTCTTCCAAATGAAATGTCCTTTTAATCTTCTCAGTGGTTCTAAACCCTGTTCCTGTTGTCCCTGCCGAGTCTCCTCTCTGATAGGGCTTCTAGAATCACTCCACATTTCCCCCACCATTACTGCGCCCCTGTTATAGTCAGTTTAGAAGCTGAAGAAATATTTGGAGAATAGGTCAAGAACATTGCAAGATTCATGAAAATTTGATATTTTTAAATGAGTCACTTCTTTTTGTCATCCTCAGCTGAAGGGGTGTTGGGGGAACAAGAAATACAGACCATCAAATCAACCCTCAGACTCAGTTTATGAAGAGATGAAACGGAGCAATTTGGACTGCCCGCCCAGTGTACGGACATTCATCAACCCTGACTATCAATCCACCAAGCTACTTCGCTAAATACCTGTGATATAGAGTTTAAGTTGTATAACTCTCTATTTGGATTGGCAAAGCTTTTAAATGATTTATTGCTTTGTATTTGAGTTTATCATTTTCATTTTTTTTCTGTTCCTTTCAGTTCAGAGAGAGAGAAATACAATTCTATAATTAATTTAGTGTGAATATCATGCTTATATTTAAGATGCTGTAGATCAGGAAGAATTTAAAATAGTTTAAGTGTGAAGAACAACAAAAAAAAGATGCAGCAGTTTAAGAGATATTGTTAGCTGATGGACAAAAGAAATGTCAAAGACCTCATTTGTGGTCTGAGGTGCTCATGCATGTGCAAAGAACTCAAGAATGTTGTGAAGTGCCTGCTACTTTCCGTCTGACAAGTAGGCCAACAGTGAACTGACTGATGGAAAAGCAGAGAATCATATTTAACTTCTCTGATCATAATAATGGCAATAAAAGCCTTTTTGTCTCATTGCAAATTTTAAACTTAACAGCAAATGGTACTTACTCTCTGATTTTCGTTTTTTAACTTGGTTTCCACTCTTCACCAATCATCTTCCTTTGCAGTTGTGGTCATGTTTTCTTCCTTTCTATAACCTTTTAGAATGCATCAGAACAAAGCCACACTGACGTGTTTCTTGTGTTGACTAACAATGTTGAATAAAGTTTTAAAACGTATGCAGTGTGTTTGCAGATGAGGCTTTTATATATTAATTAACATGCATGCTGTTTTACTCATCATCCAGCTTGGCTGCATTTATAATGCATTTTAATGTTTTTAATGTAATGTTAATGTTTTTTATTCAACATATCTTGTCTCTGACAATAGTGTCTCTTGTCTCTCTGTGTGCAAAATAACATTTGTAAAGTAAAATGCAACAAAACATTTGATTAAATAATGGATAAAATTAGTTTAAACTGCTTTAGATGGATTTCCTATACACTGATGCTTTACAGTAATACACTAATACAGTATATTACCAACAAATTCTGTTGAGAATTCTCAGAATGACATTACAAAGCACTAGCCGCTATGAATCATGCTGTATAAAACTGAGTCATTTTACTCTGCATAAAGAGAAAATATATTTACTTCAGTTTAGAGATCTCTTAACATATAAAATAAATGGTAACACTTTACAGTAAGTTTTCATTTGTTAACTAGTATATTTAATGTGTTAACTAACATTAACAATGAGCAATAATTTGTTACAGTATTTATTCATCTTTTTTTAACACAATACAAATTGTTCATTGTTAGTCTATGTTAGCTCAGGTCCATTGAATAACATTAATAGATACTTTTGAACATTTGATTTTAATAATGTATTAGTAAATGTTGGAGTCAACATGAACTAAGATTAATAAATGCTTTAGAAGTATTATTTCATTGTTAGTTTATGTTAAAGGGGGAACCTATTATGCTCCCTTTTACAAGATGTAATAGCTATTGGTTTTGGGTGTCCCCAGAATGTGTCTGTGAAGTTTCAGCTCAAAATACCCCACAGATAATTAATTCTAACATCTGGAAAATGACATTTTTGGGGTGTGTCTAAAAAAAGAGTTGTTTTAATGTGTATTACTTTAAATGCAAATGAGCTGCATATTCCCGCCCTGTCTCCAGACTATCTCTCTGGTAGTAGCAACATGACTGAGAGCAAGAGAACCGGTGTTCAGCCGTACATATGGGAAGCCAAATGCACTGAAAGTGGGAAGAAACAGCGCGATGTTACAGAGATTGTGCTGTGCTGACCTGTCATCGGCGAGGCTCAATGGGCCGAGCCGTGCGATCTCGCTACTGAACGGACAGCGCAGCCCAAACTAATCTCTCAAGCGCGGCTCTGATCAATGAAAATCGATAACATACGCACACAAATACGGTTAAAACGCTATGCACTATAATGACATGACATTCACAAAGCAGTCTGAAGTGAAATTATTTGCACAGACATAAATGTATATAGATAGATGTTGAGGTGCATTACATCCTCAGTGACTCAGATGTTGGGAAAAAATAAAGACTCTAATGTTCAGTCTTACATCCAAACACAGAACATGGGGATTGCTTACGAGAAGTTCAATCAGTGTGAATCAACCACTGTGGCCCGGCCCTATGCAATGTGATGTCATATTGCTTAGATAATAAAAATGGCAGGCCTAGTGAGACTGATTTGGTTTAATGGGGACTAAAAATAAGGAGAGAGTGGGTTTTTATCATTGTTGGGTGTTTGTGTTCACACACTGCAAACACGTTTATGCCCAAATACCATGTAAACAGGGCAGGACTTAGGGGGACGGGGGCCCCTGGGCTTGAGGTTATGTTTGGGCCATATACCTACACTACAAATGCCCTCAAATAGAACATCATTATGGAGTAACACAAAATACACAAACATATGCTTTGAGGTTCATAAATAGTACAATTAATATGCAACATGTCTAGGCTATAATCAAAGTTTAAATGTAATTTTAAATATTCATTATAATATAATAAACAGGATGTGTTCTCTCAGTTAAGAGATCAAAACCTTGAAATAACTGAGCAA